CTCACTCGACGGGACTCGACCATATTTTCAAGTTTGACGAGGCCGAAATCCTTGCAAGAGGTTGCAACCGCGTGATACGTGAGTCATTGTTCTCAGGCCCTCAGTCCATCAACAAGCGCAAGGATGTGGCGTTCCCATACGGTGTACTGAGAAGTTTCCTGAGCAAGAGGATCAGTCAAGTGGGAAGGGCCGGGCCCAGCTACAACAACTCGGACGACAGCAGACATAATTGTAGCGCAATTATCAGACCCGCAGCCGACGCTGACAAGGCAATTGTGGCAATGAGCGAGTCGAACGCGAAATGTCAAGCCAGTATCGCATCAAATAAGACCCAAGCGGTGGTTAAAGAAGTGAACAATTGTCGCATGCACGCGGATGAGCACCATAAACTATAAATATCGTGCAACCTGTGCATGGGTCAACCCTATCTGTTCATGACTATAACTATGCTGCCATCACCTATTATTAAGGATTCCCGACGGTATTCCAAACCATCAGGTAAAAAATAAAACTCTTGCTCCCGTGATCGCATCCTCTTTTTCTGAACTGCTTCCTGGGAATCGCATATTCTCCACTTAGCTGACTGTTCAACGCGGTGACCCATTATCGCAAGTGGCGGTCCACACCTACAAGACGGGTCACGAGTTCAACCTTGCAGCCGCGAGAATAATTGCCCACGCTGTCAGCAAGACGGACCGAGAAATGATTGAAGCCTGGGCATCGTATGACAACTCAGTTAACCGATGTATCGAGCTGGCGCCCGCATATGTTGCACTGCGCAAGTATCTCCAGACGTACGGCACTGGTGGTTAATTGGTCCTCTCCATCGCCTCCCCCCCTCCTATCACTTACCCTATGACGTTTAATTGACCCTTTTCTCTATAAGTGCTGCTTGTTTTCGGTGACGATTTTACTTCTGTTTGCGTTTATCAATCGGCTGCGGGAGGGAGAACCAAGGCTCCAACAGTTCACGACACACGTGATTGTCAGCTCTTGAGCAACATCTGGATTCAAAAAAACTCAAATGTGTGTTCCGGTCCTGTCGCATGAACCACGACTTCGGACTAACTATTACCGCATGCTTGGTCATCCTCGTGCGACCTACTTTACACATTAATTCAATGATGTCAACCGTCAATTGCTGCAAAGAAGTACACTGGGGTCATCTTATCTTCTCCCTATTCAAATAATAAATTCGCATGAAAAATCACCGTTTAAATTTGAGAAATATGAGGATTCATTATCA